AGATGCTAGACTATTTGGGTGCTAAGCCTAAACCTCCATTCATTGCTCAAAAGGTTGTATTGACTGATCTGAGAGAAGAGGCAGTTGTTTATATCAATTATACTCCCTTTGTCCTTAGGGAGTTGAACAAACCAGTTAATACACTCAAGTACGTGGGAATCACGGGTCCTGTGGTGAGTCATCTTTACTATAGTTTGTCAGTTGGAAGTTAGCATATTTCATAAAATTTATTGTGTTGCCCTACTCACGGTAACTACAATGCAGGTGGAACACATGGAAGCACGGCTAAAAGAAGATATACAAGCTGAGATTAGACAATCAGGTGGGCGAATGCTTTTACACCGTGAAGAATATAACCCCTCGACAAATCAGTCAGGTGTGGTTGGATACTGGGAAAACATTCGAGCAGATGATGTGAAGACACCTGCGGAAGTTTATTCTGCTCTGAAAGATGATGGATATGATATTGTCTACCAGAGGATACCTTTAACAAGAGAGAGAGATGCTTTGGCATCAGATATTGATGCAATACAGTATTGTCAAGATGAGTAAGTGTCCCCTACTTTACGGTATAAGGGTCTTGTAAAGTGTCATGACATTATTGTTCTTGTACTGTTTGGATGAATTATAATTTGGGGGTTTGTATGTATACTTAGAATATTCAACACACCAAATATGTCCTTAGAATCATGACCAACCTATGATTGCTAATAATATGGGGCTCATGCTTTTTCTGTGATGTAGACTTGTCAAAATGGACTACTCGGCCCAACCTAACCCGGTTTACTTATTAGTGAGTTTCAGAAAAATGAGTTCGGTCTACCATGGATTAGTGTGTTAAACGAGTCATCTCAGTTAATTTAAAAAAAATGCAGTTTTTTAGTTTTGCTATTTTTTCTTTAATATACTTTTTTCTTATATGAAAACTGGAAACAAATTCCAAATTACTGCAATAACCATGACAAAAGATTTATTATATTAATATGCATATGATGACCGTGACATACTTTAATATATATGAAAGAACCCGTGAATTGAGAGATTTTGATTTTGGGAGAAAAGAAGTGAGGCAGAAGGAGAGCTGGAACTCATAGGCAGTGTATATTTTGTCTATCCAATTTTTTTTTAATTGTGTTGGGCTTTTGTTGGATTGTGTCAGGTTTTTTTTTTTTTTTCTTTTTATCATAGGTTGATGAGCTGGGTGGCTTACCATGACTTCCACCTAGGTGAGCTGGGTTTTTTAATGGTTTGGGTTCGATTTCAGCCCTATCAAAATTTACAATTTGTTTAGCTGGCAACCGAGGGTGAGCCAGTTTGACTCATGGGCTTTGACCTTTGACTACTCTACTGAAATGAAGTTATGAGGTTATTCGTTAGAGTTTGGCTTATAGCACTTTATTCCTCTGTGAAGTTGACTCTTTACATCTTTGAGTAAGCTAAAAACAAACATTTTTCTTAGTTTTTAAGTTAAAAGCATAGGAGATTCATACTATATTACTATAAATAAATATGTGTAATAGTCCCGTACAAGGCACAGGTTTCATACCTCGTAAATGCTTACAAATCTGTCTTACTAATCAATACATGTTAACTGCTCATCATTTTGATTCCTGCCCAGCAGTCTTCATTTATTCCCTGTGTGTCTGTATCCAAATTGTCTAGATGCTGTAATCCCTCTATAGTAATCTTTGAGGCATTTTTTGTTTCAATATAGAAATGTACTAACTCTTGCTTTGTTGTAGCTCTGCAGGTAGTTACCTTTTTGTATCACACACAGGTTTTGGTGGTGTCGCATATGCAATGGCCATAGTCTGTATCCGACTTGATGCTGGATCCAAAGTCTCACAACCATTATTTGGACCTCATATATATGCAGTGACTGAAGAGAACTTGCCTTCTCAAGCTTCCAATGAAACGGCACTTAGTATGGGTGACTATAGTGACATTTTGAACCTTACAAGGGTCCTCATACATGGTCCCCAAAGCAAAGCAGACGTTGACCTTGTCATTGAAAGGTTATTAGGAATTTTTTTAATTAGTTTACAAGCCATACGTTATTACTTTTAAGAGTGTTCAACATCAAAGTGAGTAAATTATGTTGCTCTTGATTTAAAAATGCATAATCTCGGGTGAGAGGAGGAGGGTTACTTTTGCAAATATATTATGTTTCACTTTTGTAGGTCTAGAATAAATTTTGCATCATTTCTAACCATCGGGGAAATTTGATCTTTAGTTATCGGGTTTCCATTGAAGATACTGACTTTTTCTATTTTATCTATAGATGTGCAGGTGCAGGGCATATAAGAGAAGATATTCTATATTACAAAAGAGAATTTGAGAAGTTCACTGATGATGATGATGAGGAACGAGCATGTCTTATGGACATGGGTATCAAAGCTTTGAGGTAGATTTACTTGTTTCACCCATAGGAACGTACTTTCTATATTTTATAGGAATCGCATTGATATATTTTCTCTAAAACATGTGGAGAGTGCACCTGCACATGGATGTGCTTATGTAGTTAAGTATATGATTTTGATCAATCCAATTCTAGAATTGTAGCCAAGTATATGATAAATTTTAGAATTTTAAACACTATTAGTCTATCGATATTTTAATTTCTTTCAAAAGTAATTTCTATGTTAATTTAGTGAAATGAATTACTTATTACAAAGTTACAACTTACAAACTTTCTATTCAACAATGAATTTGTAAGAAAATTTATATTATTGCTGTAAACAGAATTTTATCTTATAAGAGTTGCTCATGGGTGGTCTAAGATTGACTTTTATTTACATTTCTTTTCACACATGCATTTTGAATTTAAGATCTTGCCCTCGCATGCAATTGAAAGGGAGAAATAAGGATAATTAGTACCTATACATAATATTGAATTTTGTGAGGTACTCATCGCATAACAAGTCATTAACCATGTATTTTAATGAGAGTTGATCTATATATACATACTAATATCTATACCCGTGCAATGCACCTGATTTTTTCAAAACATACTAAATAAATTTGGTTTAGTATGAGTAATTGATTGACTGTAAAAAAAATTATAGTTTACATACAAAATCAAATACTATAAAAATGCGGATGATAAATATTAGAAATTACTATTTGAAGACCTTTACCACAATAAGTTACTCATAATGTAAAAATATTTAACTTCACAAATCTGCAATTAAAATTTTAATATTTAGAATTTGATATATAATACATACATAAATAAAAATTGAATAAATTAGTATGAGAATCATTTGTATACCTCTTATGCATGATGCAGTCTAAAATATGCCTTTGTTTTTGTTTTCCTATTCCTATAACAATTATAATCAATTAAATGAGTGTAAAACACATAATGTAGTTTAGATAATGAAAAACTTTTTACAAAAAAGGGATTATAAATATAAAGACTTACCATTTCATGATCTTCACTAAAACGAGGTTATAATAATGTGAAAATGATATGCATGTATATTGGATTTCTATATATATATGTATTATATATATATATATGTATGTATGTATGTATATATATCTATCTACATATATATGTGTATATATATATATATATATACATATATATGTGTGTGTGTATATATATATATATATGTATGTATGTATGTACGTGTGTTGGATATGACATACCATTTTATTGTGTAACCATTTCTGTTTTTCCCCACCATCTGCAGGCGATATTTTTTCCTTATCACTTTCAGATCTTATCTCTACTGCACTTCTCCTGCCAATGTGAAATTTGCAGCATGGATGGACGCAAGACCAGAGCTTGGTCATCTATGTAACAATCTAAGAATTGACAAATAACATGGCAATGCTTATAATCATGTCGTTACTGTTCTGTGGGCGTTTGCTGTTACAGTGACAGTTTGAGCCACCCTGTAACCTCTCCTCGTGCTGCACAATACCTTATTTTTGCTACAAAGCCTTCAAATGTAGTACACTATGCACGCATGCTACTTTGTGAACTGCAATCTCAGGCAGAGCAACATCCTGCACTCATTTTGTGTAGCTTTGTATGTTACGAGAGGCTGGCTGACACAAGGCACAAATATTGGTGCACTAAAGTGTTCATTCGAGACCTTTAGGACAGTAGGTTACACTGTTGAGGAATGTTATAGTAACTCTTCCAAGATTGTATTTCTATGTCATGTTGTTTCGGGAGGGTTTGTAAAGGATGAAAAGTAGGGCATCAATAGGATTGGAAAAGATATCATTTTAGTGTGAGGGAGGAATCTTCCCTATTTCTCTGTAAGCCCAAGATTTAATGTCCTTAAGAATTTAGTTATTTCACTCATTCATTTGTATTTTTGTATGTTATCTTCCTTTATCGAATAGTTAATTCTCTCTTGGCTTAACATAGTTCAACAGAATTATTTGCTGTTTATCCCGTGTTCTTCCGCATTGATTCTCAATGTCTGTGCTTGCATATCAGTGGTTGGTTCTGTCATAAACAGCACATGTGCGTCATATCCTTTACTTCTCTTATAGTTTTTGACGGGAAGTGCTTTTGTAATACGGACCTAGACGCTCAATATATAAGAAAATGCAGCGAAGCCTTTTATTAGGAAGGAAAATGCATGAACTTGCAAATCATGTTCTCTCGCCATCCCATGTGTAATGGGGGAGGTCACATAGTAGTATAGGTGTGTAGAATTCTAGCGAGGCTAACTTCAATCTCATGGTGGAAATCTTCTATGCATGAGATGTCTGTGTGTGTATGCATAAATTGCCAAAATATATGTGACATCTAACGGCTTGATCCTAGTTACCAAACTCTCTCATGATGCGTCCTACTAATTGACTCAGACAAAACCATTTATACTACTGCAATGGAGAAGGCAGAATTTCGTTACCATGGTTGAAGGAAGGTAGAAGCGTTAGGTTTCAAAATAAGATGAGCGTCGATTATTCTTCAAATTAAGAAAATGAGTCTCTTCTTTGAAAAAGATGAGTGTCATGTTGTAGTTTTTCTCGGTTTTTTTGGATCATTTCATAATCGAAGTTAAATTAGAAAGACGCAGCATGGACATTATAATTTGTTATTTTTATTTTTGTCAAGGTAACCTGGTTTCAACAGTGCAATGTGGCTGTATCGTTTTCTCAAGCCAGTACCTAATAATCTGATTCTTGGCAGAGAACACATTATTAATAGTACGACAAAGATTATAAAAGAGAACCGTAAATTGCTGTTTGGTAGATTCCAAAAGCACGCACCTTAATTAACGGACCAAAACCTCAAAAGAGGATGGAAACAGCGTACATGATCTGACAAAAACAGCGTGCATTAGGGAATAAGGAGCATTTTAGCTTTTAGTATGTTATAAGCTGCTTAAGAATCTTCAGAAACTTATAGCTCGGTTTGTGTTGTTCAAGAGATTTTCTGATTGAAATGAAAAAGAAAAAAAAAAGGTTGGTGGGTTTCCATGTTGGTTTGAAGCTATTAACTAATAAGCCATTCCTTGCTCTACCTCGAGGAAATCCCACCTTGCTTTAATTCTTTTAGATATTTCATAAAACAACATGATACCCAAACAAGACATACAAGACATATATGCTGCTGCTTTAATTTCCCCCCTTTCCCTCTTCCCTTGTACATTGCTTAAACAGAAGGGTCTCGTCTCATCTCTATTTCCATTTATATTCCTTCCCGTTAATAGATTATTAGGTACTGGGGAGCAAAATCTCTCTCATGTTTTCGTACATTTCAATTTCCATTTATTCACCTTTTTTTTTTCTATATTTTATACTCTAGATAATCTAGCTGAATTAATTCTGCTCGGTGCTATTAAACTTCGGCTCTGAATAATAATCTGATTGTTCAATCAACCGCTTGTGAGAATAACCAAATAAGACGGTTGTCATAGTGCTTAGCAATTTACTGAATTTAGAAATGATGGTGGCAAGTGAGCTACAAGGACTTTCCATGTCCCTGGCTTCAAAGAAGCCAACCTTCCACCGTGACAAGGATTTGTCTTCCTCATTCTCTGGTAGGAGAGTGAACTTGCTTCAATCAAAGAATGTAGTATCTGGTTTTCGTCCGGGAAAATTCTTTAGTGTCACACACAGAAACACAACCAGAAGATTTATGACTATGTCTACTCTTGCAGATGTTGCAAATGACTTTATGGTAACTTAACTTTCATTTTGCTTAGTGAGGGATGTCTTAGTTTATGTTAATTTTATGATATATTTAATGTTTCCTTGAACCATTCTGCTCCATTAAAATCTTTGGCCTTGATCACTGATTATTTACTTGGACAAATTACAATTGCGTCTCTTAAAATTTAGTAGAATTCAAATAACCCTTCTCTTTTTCGTTACTTTGACCTCCCTTGATCTATATAACTACACTAGAAATCATGAGAGGCATGTGCTAACGTGAAGGTAAAAAAAGAAACAATGGTAGTGAGGGAAATTTTGTTAGACCTGTGAGTGTAATCTTCTTTATTTGTTTTAACTAGCACACTTGAAAGTGTACATTAATTTGCCTAGATATTATTGCATTTCAGTCCCTTCAATCACCGATACTTACAGGAAGAGAAGCCAACCCAAAGACTGTTGCATCGATCATATTAGGCGGAGGAGCTGGAACTCGTCTGTTCCCCCTTACTCAAAGAAGAGCTAAACCTGCTGTTAGTTATTAATTTCACTAACCTGTGTTTATCATTATATTTTATCACAGGCCTAGGATTAAATTCATTCATCTGTATGTGATGCTCAGGTACCATTTGGAGGATGCTATAGACTAGTTGACATACCGATGAGTAATTGCATTAACAGTGGAATTAACAAAATTTACGTCCTCACTCAATATAACTCTCAGTCCCTCAACCGACACATTGCTCGAACATATAATTTAGGAGGTTGCATCAACTTTGGAGGTGGTTTTGTTGAGGTAAACAATCTTATATTATTAATTTATTATTCTTATCATTATGTTTTACCTTCCTTTTTAGTTATGTCTCAGCTTAAACACACTTATTGACAAGGTATGCAGAAACTACAGAATTTAATTTCTATGTACTCTTGCATTGTTAATATATCTGAAATTATGGTAGTCCTGATTGTAATGTAGGTAGTGTAAAAGTCAATTTACTATATATGGCAATTTGTAATTGAATGACAATGTAAAATCTCATTACATTGTCAATGCATAAACCATTGTCTTTACTAAAAGTTTGTTATGATAGGTATTGGCTGCAACTCAAACACCTGGTGAATCAGGAAAAAAGTGGTTTCAGGGTACAGCCGATGCTGTAAGACAATTCCTTTGGTTGTTTGAGGTATTGTATAAATCTTTTTCCTGTTTATAAAATTGTAGAGTTGGCAGAGTAGTCCATTTGTCCACAGATATAGGATTACCACAAATGCAAGTGTTTAAAGATTATGCCCTTCTTACGTTTACAAAAACTGATTGAGTTTGTGGTACATGAATAGGACGCTGATCACAAAAATATAGAGAACGTTCTGATATTGTGTGGTGATCAGCTCTATCGAATGGATTACATGGACATTGTGCAGGTTGGTATAGTTGTTAATTTTATGCTTTTTGCTAATTCACTTTCTATGGATATTTCGCATGACAACTGATCTCACACTAGCAGAAGCACGTTAATTCATGTGCTGATATATCAGTATCTTGTCTCCCAGTGGATGGCAGGTATTCTATGTAAAGCTTGCTCTGTTCCAATGTACAATATTGGTTTCTGAAATATTCATATTTTCTTCTTTTCCTTTGGCAGTCGGGCCTCTGATTTTGGATTGGTGAAGGTTGATGAAAGAGGACGGATATGCCAGTTCTTAGAAAAACCTAAGGGCGAATTGTTAAGATCTATGGTTGTTACTTTTCCAATCTCCTGTTAAAAGACTGAGTGATTATCTACTGTAGTTGTCAATATCGCCTGTCTCTGATTAAAGTACTTGTTTTCATAGCATGTAGATACGAGTATTTTTGGACTATCAGCTCAAGAAGCAAGAAAATTTCCATACATCGCATCAATGGGTATATATGTGTTTAAAATAGATGTTCTGCTAAAAGTTCTCAGGTAAAGAAAAATTTCCTGTCGGTTCTTGTTTCCTCATTTTAAGTAGAACTATCAGTTTTGTATGCGGAGGTGATTCTATGAAGGTAGTGAAGTAACTGTTTTCCTTCCTTGTGCAATAATTATTGGTGATATAACATGATATGCCCTATTTTTCGTTAGAACACAGACATAAAAAAAAATGCTTTGATGTTGATCACATATATGATGTTCAATAAATCTGTTTTATCTGGCATCTGATAGAGGAAACAAAATCTTAAAGCTTTTTTAGTAGAACTACGGTGCGGTGATTCAATGAAGGTAGTGAAGTAACTGCGTTCCCTCCCTTGTGCAATAATTATTGGTGGTGATGTGCTCTATTTTTCGTTAGAACACAAATATACAGAAGAGCTTTGATGTTGATCATATACACGAAGTTCAATAAACCTGTTTTATCTGGCATCTGACAGAGGGGAAAAAAACCCTTGTAGAATGAGGTACTCTGTGTCCAAAGTGAATACAAGCTCCAACATCCCCCATTTTGTCATATTATGGCATTGAACATATAGAGATTGTGTCAAGAAGATGATTTTAAGCCTAATTCAATTTTATAGTGTAAGATGAGGTTTGCATTCACATTAATACTTTAAATTAGTCTTATTTAAGATTTTTAAGACACTCTTTTATAACAAGATATATATATCTCATGTGTGAGACTACATTAATGGATGGTCAGAGTGTGGAATGATATATCTAATAAAGACAAATTATAGACTCTAACTCATGACAATAATACTATACTAAGAGATAAATTTTAAACCTAACTCAACAATACAAAATCGGCTTATAAGTTGCATCCACTTATTTATTATAAATTAAGGTGATGGAACATGCACTATTAGACTGAGTGTGGTGCCTATGGGAGGCTGTTTCCCACTCTAAAAGAAGTGATCTCTCCTCGGGGTCCGGATTTGAGAAGTTGACGGGGTCGGAGATGACCCATGGCAGTTATTCCTACAACTTACAAGGGCCTTGAGTTAAAAGAGGACTGTCGGAGCAACTAGTTCTGAAAACAGATTATAAATAAGATAACAGAAACTTGCAAGTTCCAAAAGTCCAGAGATAATAACTAAGTCGAGGAGGGTCCAATAACTTCCTCCTTAAATTAGCTGCTATATTAATTCACTACAACTACCCAGTTACCTAAATTTTCCTACTATATCTTGGTAACATCCTGAAACTTGTCACTCCCAAGAGCGACTCCGATTATAATTAAGAACAAAAGCAATAACCAAGCCTATTCTAATGGGCATGGTTGGTTGCCTTACCTGATCCAACAATCACATTAGACTCTGCAGGAAAAAATTGTTATGAATAACTAACTTGTAATCTATTATTGTGATTTTCATTCTTCTTTTATGATAAATTCGCAGGGGCTGTTATCCTAATGCAAATGATTTTGGATCTGAGGTCATTCCCTTGGCTGCAAGAGATTTTAATGTCCAGGTAGTTGTTCAGTGTAAAAACTACTGAAGTTGTAAAAATTGTTTTAGCTGAAGAATTTTGCCAAATATTCTATGAATCTAGTTTTTGATGAATGCATAGTAATGAAGGATGGCCCATGGATTTGATCACAGGCATGTCTTTTCAATGGTTATTGGGAAGATATTGGGACTATAAAATCTTTCTTTGATGCGAACTTGGCTCTTATGGACCAGGTAGGTTTGTTAGTATTTAAGTTATAGGTCTCAATCAGAAAACCAAATCCACTGAGTTTACCCAAGCTGCAATTTATTGTTCTTCCATGTTGAAGCCGCCCAAGTTTCAGTTGTATGACCAGTCCAAGCCTATTTTTACTTGTCCTCGCTTCCTACCACCAACTAAAATGGAGAAGTGTCAGGTAAATAAAACTATTAAATTTACTTCATATACTTTAATTACTTGATTCTGACAGAAACTAATGAGACTGTGCAATAACGTCCATTGTAGGTAATTAACTCTTTGATTTCAGATGGTTGCTTTTTGAAAGAGTGCACAGTACAACATTCCATTGTGGGAATTCGATCACGACTTGATTCTGGAGTGCAGATAAAGGTAATCTTCCTTTTCTAGCAACATTTTTTATCAGGAGCAAAGCTCTATCTTTCCCAATTTCTCACCATATTTCACTTCCTTTATTTTTTTTATCAAAAATATGGGAGTGAATCTGTATTTCCTGTTCAATTTCTCTTAACCTGACATGAAACCATATGAATCACATTTACAAACACTTTTCAGGATACCATGATCATGGGTGCTGACTATTACCAAACAGAAGCTGAAATTGCTTCCCTTGTAGCAGCGGGAAATGTTCCAATAGGCATTGGGAAAAATACAAAAATTGTGTAAGAATCCAGAAAATGCTTTCAAGTATTTTCACATTATACAGCATACTGCATGAAAAAATTTGCATGGTGTTGAATTATACTAATCATTACATTGGCATGCCTTTAAACAATTGTTACCACAACTACTGTTCTACAGTAGAAATGTAGTGAGAGGGATTTATATGATATATCCATGTGGACTTTTAGAACTGTTTCCGTCTCTTGTGTTTTGCCCTTGTTGCACAGCATGCTAGTCTGTTCTTATAACTCTTGCTCCAATCTTATATGCAGGAATTGTATAATTGACAAAAACGCAAGAATTGGAAACAATGTAATTATTGCAAACAAAGACGTAAGTTATAACTTAGTTGTCAAAGTGCTCTACTTTTGGAAGTTTTTCTTCTTATTCTTGAAGTTTTATTGCGGCAAATGATTCCTTCAATTGG